TAAGATGATTCGTTGTTGGTCGCCAAAATATTAACTATATAAAATTTGCTGATGACCAAACATTCAGCAATTGTAAGAAGATATAATAAATGGTTATTAGCAAAAGGAACATTAAGTGGTGCGAACGACAAATTGGAGGCGCGAAAATCAAGCAAGTACAAAGATTTCAATATTTAGGCAGCATATTATAAAAGGACAAAAATATGTGATACTGAAACCCGAAGGTGCATTAGAATAGCGAATGATGCCTTCCAAAAGCTAAGCAATATATTAAGGAACAGCAAAGAGTACTAGTCCGTTATGTAATATGTAATTCTACGATATGGCAGTGAAAGTTAGGCAATCTCCTCACAGATGAAGAAGAGATTTGAAGCAAGAGAAACAAAGAAAAGAGTACTGAACTGTTATGTAATATCAGTGCCCCTATATGGCAACAAATGTTGGACAATCTTCTCACAGATGAAGAAGAGACTTGAAGCAAGAGAAACAAAGAAAAGAGTAATGAAGTGTTATATAATATCAATCCTCCTATATGGCAGTGAATGTTGGACAATCTCTTCACAAATGAAGAAGATACGTGAAGCAAGAGAAACAAATAAAAAAATACTGAACTCTTATGTAATATCAATCCTCCTATATGGCAGTGAATGCTGGACAATCTACTCACAGATGAAGAAGAGACTTGAAGCAAGAGAAACAAAGAAAAGAGTACTGAACAGTGATGTAATATCAGTCCTCCTATATGGCAGTGAATGCTGGACAATCTCCTCACAGATGAAGAAAAGACTTGAAGCAAGAGAAACAAAGAAAAGTGCACTAAACTGTTATGTAATATCAGTCCTCCTATATGGCAGTGAATGCTGGACTATCTACTCACAGATGAAGAAGAGACTTGAAGCAAGAGAAACAAAGAAAAGTGCACTAAACTGTTATGTAATATCAGTCCTCCTCTATGGCAGTGAATGCTGGACAATCTCCTCACAGATGAAGAAGAGACTTGAAGCAAGAGAAACAAAGAAAAGAGTATTGAACTGTTATTTAATATCAGTCTTCCAATATGGCAGTGAATGCTGGACAATCTCCTCACAGATGAAGAAGAGACTTGATGCAAAGAAACATTTTCAAAAAGTGCTGAACTATTATTTAATATCAGTCCTCCAATATGGCAGTGAATGCTGGACAATCTCCTCACAGATGAAGAAGAGACTTGAAGCAAAGAGAAACAAAAAAAAAAGTATTGAACTGTTATGTAATATCAGTCCTCCCATATGGTAGTGAATGCTGGACAATTTCCTCACAGATGAAGAAGAGACTTGAAGCAAGAGAAACAAAGAAAAGAGTATTGAACTGTTATGTAATATCAGTCCTCCCATATGGTAGTGAATGCTGGACAATTTCCTCACAGATGAAGGAGAGACTTGAAGCAAGAGAAACAAAGAAAAGAGTGCTGAACTATTATTTAATATCAGTCCTCCAATATTTTAGTGAATGCTGGACAATCTCCTCACAGATGAAGAAGAGACTTGATGCAAGAGAAACAAAGAAAAGAGTGCTGAACTATTATTTAATATCAGTCCTCCAATATGGCAGTGAATGCTGGACAATCTCCTCACAGATGAAGAAGAGACTTGATGCAAGAGAAACAAAGAAAAGAGTGCTGAACTATTATTTAATATCAGTCCTCCTATATGGCAGTGAATGCCTGGCAATCCCCTCATAGAGTTTCTATTTTACATTGGCCATTATTGAACTATTTTACATATTTATAGTGTGAAATTGAAATGAAAATTCTAACGCTAATTACATCGTTGACATATGTTTTTTGATTAACTAAAGTATTTTTTTTTTCACTATATATTTACTCTTATAAAAACATCTGTTTTTTACATAAGTGAATTATAAGATGGGCAAGTAGGCAGCGTCAAGGTTATTAGCGCATAATGTGGAAATTTAACTGAGTTCAAATTCCAGTCTATACTGTTGCGTTCACTTTCGCCCAATTTCTTCTCCCCACTCTGATGTGTTAAATAGCAGTGTAGACTGTACTCCTTGGTGGATGTATAAGAGGGAAATTCTGAATTCAAAACCTTAAAGGAAGTAACTAGATACAATTCAACTATATTTTCCAAAGAATCGTGGCAGTTCGCAGATAATACAATTATTATCTGCCAACTGCCAAAAAAGAAAATGTTCATGAGTCGTGATTACGTACTAGGAAGTTTCTAGTTGGACTTTAAAATATATAAATAACTTATATAAATCGTAAATGGACTAATCTGCTTGTATTAATTTATTTTAATATTTCTCTCCTGTTTTGACGGCAAGATTCATCAAAATAATCTTATGATTATGAAAGTAAGTTCCACAGGTGAGAAGTGTGACAGAAGAAACTATTAGAATAGAACGTAGGGTTACATTGAGAGATTTCACCAGTAAAATGATGAGACCTAGCTGTCACTCTAGTCCTACGTTTGAATTTATGAAATCGATATTCCAAAACTCATCAGTAAAATAGCCATGAAAGTATTTATAGAAAAGGCAGAGTGAGGCTACGTCACAGCCAGATCAGGGTCGATAACATTGCAGATTCCCCTTTGGATTTTGTCAAGAATTTCTAGATGTCTGGCAGACGCACCAGGCAAGCTGTGACAGTTATATTCAATGCACGGACAAATTGTAGATTCATAAAATTCGCGGCCTATTTCTTGAAATTTTATTAATCTTTCCTGAAGCCCTTGGTCATTTTCCCTAGTGACATTGTCATACTGTGTAGGTATAGTTAACATTTACATAGTTTAACTAAGTACAGTACAAGATCTGCAGACACTAGGGGGATTGTGACTTGGACGCCGATAAGGTGTTGCGGAAAATACGTAAATATGAGGCTTTAAATGCCAAATCAGGATCACTAACTTTGTGAATTTTATCTAGAATCTTTAAATGCAGAAGCACCAGACCAGATGTGAAAGGAATATCTAATGCATGGTCGAATAACAGACTTGTAAACGTGCCAGATATGTATCCAAATATCAAATTTTTATGTACATACTAGCAGCACGGCCCGGCGTTGCCCTTGCTTGATTCAAAAATCGTACGACTCATACAACAATCTCTATCACTTGACTTAAAATATTTTTGCCCTTCCTTGCCTTTAAAGGAGTACCTTTTGCCGTGCTGATGTTGCTTCATGCCTTACTTCTTGCCTATCTCACATTGCGAATTTTTTCTAAGCTCTATACTAAACATTAAATATGTTACAAAAAAAGAACTAAACAAAATGAACACAAAATGAGCAGATTTAAAAAAAGGACTTTTTCACACCCAACCCAGTTCTGCGGAATCAGAATCAACGTTGAGTTTAAGCAAACGAATGAGCCAATTGGAGTAAAGTGCCATGTAGATTTAGTTTTTTTCCTACTTGTGACGAATGCAGCTATCGATTTTTTGCATGCTGCTTAACATTCGTGTCAGTCAACTGTTGGCTCTCACGCTGGCCAATAGAATCTTCCTGCCTATTCATGGCAGCCAGCTATAGGCTCTCACTCTGGCCAGTAGAAAATGGCCGCAAACTACATGAAAACTGCCGTAGAAGCATGAAAAAATCGATTATTTCCACTATCGATGGGAGTTGGGAAATGCAAAGTCGGTCTTGGCTTTCCCGCTAACTTGGAGCATGTGCTTGTAAATTTTGGTGCAAATTCGTCGAAAATTGCGGCCGTGCATTCGTCACGCACACACACACACATCCTGCCTTTTATAGATAGAGATTGCTACTTATGTTTTTCTTATAACAAGTGTGTTGTAGCATACCTAGGGACGATAATGGCTATGCCACCATTCACATAAATACAGTAGTGAATACTGTATTTGTTGGTCCGTCGGGACTTCAGCTGGGCTGGTTTAGCTCTCTGCTTCCGAGCAGAGAACATTTTCAGACGGAGCTATGTCGAAGGTAGTCTCATCTCGGTAATACCTACCCGACACCGTTTTATACTGGGTCTACGGGGAAATTTTGGCTCGGCCTACGGGCTCGGTTATCCAACATTAAAATTCGGCTTT